TATATGTAATGAACTTTCAAAAATTTAAAATGTCAGATTTATAGATCTTTTTCACATTTCTTGAAAAACATTTAAATTTTTACTTAGTTATATACATAAATTTCATTTGTAAATATTTAATTCCGACCAAAAAAGATAAACGCACTTATGGAATTATACAGAATTTAAAAACCAAATGAAATTAAATTAAAGTCAGACACTATAAATTAGTCACACATTTAGTTACAATTCTAAGTCAGTCTTATCTAATAGGTTCATATAATCAATCATTGAAAAATAATTTACCGAAATCTTCGAAAATGCTTAACTATTTACTTACATTTCGATATTTTGAGGAAAGCGAAACAATTTCAAATTTGGATAACTCGCTCTATTTACATTGCATTAAGCACATATATCATAATTCTTTGCTTTGCGCACAGAAGAATCACTGAAAAATACTGAAAGAAAAAAGAGGATTACAATCTTTATCAAAACTGAAAACAAGGCGAAAAAAATCAACAGAAGATAGGTTATACAAAGAGCACTTACTTGTGAGGGATAATTGTCAAATTAACGTCCGCCATTGATTGATTTCTCATGTGCTTCTCTCTCCAAACTCTCCTTCCAAAACTAAGGATGATATTGCGCATGCGCCCCGGAAGACAAACTTCTCTGCCGTACACGAAGCGCTGGCATTGTGCCAAATTTTGTTACGACTTTCGCGAACTTCCCATCTTTACACTTATACAATCTTTGATTTAGGTTTATATTTTTTAGAATCCGTTTATGATGCTAAATTATTAGTTATTAAAAGATTAAAGTTTTATATTTGTTGTCATTCATCTGTAGAACTTGTAGTTAATTTGATTGATTTTATTTAAAAGGTGTCCACATTATTTATTTCAACTTATTAACGACAAAAATAATGAATAAAAATTGATATGAATAAATAAACAGTATGTAATCAACTAGTAGAATCTGTTCATCGAATTCCATCTCAAATAAAATTCTAGAGGCGGTTTAATATAGCGTAACTACCACTACAAGTATTAAATACCAAATCACTAGTATATAACACATATTAACTTGATTCCATCTTTAGGTACCTTTTGATAGATAAAATTTGACATAGTCGATAGTTAAATCCCTACAATTTCTTGATATTAGTGAAGCATCATGACGGTATAATGCATCTTGTTGTTTCTAATGCCGTTTGGCAATATCAGCAAACCTACTTGGTGAAAGCCAATCGAAATTAAGTCAGAGGGTGCATTTCTTGTTTTTCAGTGGCGTCATCTATAGCCAAGAATACGACTTTTATATGTACTTTTCAATCATTTTGATGTAATGGTGTAAAAAATAATTTTAAGTCAAATTTATAATCCACTCCGAAAAAATCTATGATCTGGTGGTAGACAAATTTTTAATCGTAATTCATTATTATATTTACTTCCCCTGTGACATGTTGCCCCTAGAGACAGCAGAGAAACCAACCTCATCCGGACTTCTGTAAGGAAGAGCTTCTTTGTGAACATAACCACTGATAAACTTGTCCTGTGATTGGTAAGGATCTTTCTGGAGGATCTTTGCTATCTCGTGAAGATTGACAAAAGTATCATCGTCTGCCTTCAGAAAATACTGGGCGTGTGCGCAGTACTTGCTCACCCACTTCAGCATGAGGACACTCTTCGTCGTCAGATTGCGGTACGTGTCCTCAAAGTTAGCCTGTATGATGTCCCCGTGGGTGACGCTCTCTTGCTCGATGAGTTCAGTCTCTGTGGCATTCGGGGTGGTCCCCAACACGAAACCCAAACGCAGGGGACCAAAAGGCCTGAAAAAAAAAATAACATTACTTGAAAAATAAAATGTCGAATGAATTTTCTGCTTTATGCAGCTTTAAGTTCAACATTTATGAAATATAAGTAAATATTTACACTGATTTATGTACTCACGATGTAGCGACCTTACATTATAACCTCCTCTTTCGTTCGAACCACAGAGGTCGTTACGTCATATTACTATCAATCTTAATCATATTGGAAAAAAGTTCGTTCCGTTCAGAAACGTTCTTTCAGAATGAGTTAAAAACTTTTAAGTTATTATGACACTTATCAGCAAGTTTTTAAAAACATTTGTGCTTTCTGAACATTTGGTCCATGATGAGTTAAGGTTAATATTTGAACTAGTACTTGTTCACTAATTTTTTGAGGGACTCAAATTATATTTTAAACTTATGTTTTCTTTTTTACAGTTTTTTTCTATGTTTCGGAATTTAAATTTTTTTCCTCGATCATTTTTGGACTAATTATTTAGAAAGCTTACTCTTGGGCAATGGATCCCCATGTTTTCCTGATGACCTTCCTGTGCTCAAAGTGACTAGTAGCCGAGGGTACAAGTATCAACAGCTTGACTTCTGGATCTTTGATGTAAGCGTTGGTGTTCGGTAAATTCACAGTTTCACACAATCTCGTAGGGTTGATTAAGAAATCAAGGTGCCACGGACCCTGAAAGTGGCAAAAATGAATTACAAAGAATGCGAGCTAATTAGTCTGAAATGGAGCAATTATATTGAAACTGTGAAAGTCATTAAGAAATCAGGTCAACATTAGCAATAATAAAAAGCAGCACAACAAGATCAATAGTGAGAAAAAGACGACATTATTGGAACTCATTTGAATTTGATTGCTTCAAGCAGAATTTTTGTGTGAAACACAGCTGTGGGAAAATATAATTCGTATTTTTTCTTAAGGAAGTTGGACCATTCGTTACGGGAGAAGAAATTAAAGAAATTTTTAATCCTAGCATAAACTAAAGAATTTCCTCCATTATTTCTCTGATGTCTTTGTATGGAAAATGGTCAGACGGATAAATTAGATATCTGCAAACGACGTCACGCGTGGGTAAATCAAGCCACGATTCAGCAACCAATCAGGTTCGACGCACACGCATGACACGCACGCAAGCCAATCAAAACTTATCACCCATGCTCGACCGTTCAATGTCTGCGATATTTTTCTTCTTCAGTTGCAAGCAACTAATTGGGCATGGGGTGTTAATGCTACAGCTATTAGGCTTGGTTTATAATCCCTCTGAATCAATTTCCGCCTCAGATTTAATTGGATATTTGCCAGTAACAATATGTGTGAGATGATCCAAATTGGCTGCTGAATTGAGACATACGCAAATTTATCCTCGCGTGACGCTGTTTGCATCCAATTGTTTAGTTGGATGTCCTTTTTTATAAAATTTGGATCTTCAAAACTAATAATCCCAAGAAACTGAAGCGTGAAGGTAATGATGGTGTTTTCAGTATGAATGTAACCAACAACAATCTCGAGCTGCTTACTTCCGGTTAGAAAGTACGCAGCTGCTTCCTACAACTTATTCTGCAAGGCGATATTTAAAAAAAAAAACAAATAATATAATTTATGAGATCATATCTGCTGTATTTCATAAGATATAAATGATATTAAGTAATTCTGGTGTGTTTGAAGGGAAAAATTGTTTTATTTATTTAGAGATGTACTGTTAAAAAAGGTGACTCGGTTGCCTGATTTAGAAAGAAGTCAATTTTTTGGGAGTTCTGATTTGGCCTCTTTTTACTTGCTTGTTACTGTTTATTCTTCGCTCAAGCTGTTAATCATCATACATTAGTGTTAGCATATTGTTCGAGCAGCGAAATTAAGTTCATTTTAGAAATTATCATTAAGGTTTAAATTTCGAAGTTGGCATATTGTTAACAAGGTAAGAAGTGGTTTATATCGATTCTTTTTTTCAAATGACAATTCTTACGTCTTGAAATGACAGATCTTCAAATGACGATTCTTCTCTTAAACATAAATAATAAATCAGGTAACAAATATACTTATACAAGTAACACTACTCAAGAGAGTCTCAAAACATCATGTTGTGATCCAAATGGCTTCAAAACACACCAAAAATATTAACCGGGAAGTATAGGGATTAATGAGCTTGCAGCGCTTCCTAGAGTAGAAAACACCATCCATGTGTACTTGATAATATAAACACTTCCTTTGTAATGCAATGTAATGTAAAGAAGAAGAAGAAATGAAGGTTGTTAAAGTGTTTTATATTTCTCTCACTTAAAGAAAGACTCACTTTGTCGTCAAAGAGGTGATCTGCCAGCCTATTAAGGCCAATCTCTTTTCCATCATAGATTCGAACTTCATCAATATCTTCCACCCTGTACTTTCTCTCTAATGGATACAGGAATTCAATGGTGAGGACAACGCATAAACCTATCAAGATAGTCGCTAGAATGCAGGTGAGAAGTGTTCTCGAACAGATTTCTGCAAGGAGAGAATAAATTTTGTTGAATATGATGGTTCGTTTAAAGAGACGAAAGATTTTCAAAATTTTGTTTTGGAATTATCAAGCGATTGGTTTGAAATTTTCAGTACAAGTCCTTATTGTTAAAAACAATTTATATACAACATTTCAAAAAGATATCTTAAGACATTAAAATTCAGAATTTATATTGTTATTATATATTACTCCTCGCGCCTGAAATTTTGCTAAAATGACATAATTCTTTCAAAATATTATATATTGGGTAACATAAAGAAATAGTTGAGAGTACTTTTTATATTTTTTACTATAGGAACAAATAACTGTAAAAAAGCAGTAAGAACCAGCATTTTTAGAAAAAAAAATCATTAGATCATAATAAAAGATCATACATAAATTAAATACTACATACTAAATTAAAAAAAAAAAACATTTCCAACAAAGTGTTAATAACATTCATAAGTGTATAGTATCAAATTTTCAATTCAATAGAATAAAATTTCATTTCGCTAGAATAGCTCGAAACTCGTAAATTTGTCAAAAAGAACATTTTGTGAAAAATGGTTTTTTCTAATCGTTTATTGAAAATTATACTTTTCAACAAATATTTCCTTTTTTTAAACATACTTAACTATAAATATGATCTTATTAAACTAGTTAAATAAATAGATACTTTAAAATTTGAAAAAAAAAAATCAGCACAATTTTCCAAAACAAGCGAAAACGTAATTGGATTTATAAATACATTTAGCTGCAAACAAGAAAATGCTAACAAGGGTACGTGGTCAAACAAAAATTGCCATACCTTTGTCAATTTTTCTTGGAGTAAAAAAATATTAGGTTTTAAAATGTTCAGTCAAATTTCCAAAATATAAAAAGTAGAAAATAGATTTTTCGACGAATTTTCGTCCATTTGAATGTCCTTGTAAAAAAGAAAAAGGGTAAATACAGCAATCATTATACATAAGCCTGGTAGCAAAATTAACGGAGTGAATCTGCAGCGCTATCACCACGAATCAAAATTATATCCAGGACTAAATCTTAACCCATGAAGGGCCAGAACTTTTTTAAGAAATATTAAGACTGGTAACTCATTTATTTCTATGTTGAAATTTATCTTGGAAAAATAAGACATTCACCAATCTATATTATTGTTGAAAACATATAAATATTGACCTGAGATTAAATTATTGTGATATTATTGTACTAAAGCGGTAACAAACACTAGGAAATATTCGATTAATATAAGAATGATTTACTTAAAAGTAAAATGGTGCATATATATGTGTCTAATTTATTTATCTGTAGTGGTAGTTCAAATAATTTTAAATTAAATTTATAAAATCATGCAAGAATGAGACATAAAAATTAAGTTTTGTTATCACTCTAAAATAAAATAATCCGGGAATAATTAGAAGCTACGATATAGGGTCAACCTAAAAGATTAACCTCTAAGCGCGTGCAGGGATATATGGAAAGACTCTCACAAAATTTCTGGTACATAAACTACAAATATGTTGAATGTGTGTACCCTTGTTTATCCGGCATGCATCCTAACAGTAAAATCGTTCTATCAACGTGCGTCGCAATAGCAGTGTAAGCCTGAAGTTTCAAAACTTGGCTTTATGTACTCCCAGCAACAATGTGGCATTTTAAAGTTATATAAATCTACCACAACTATCGAATAAAAAATTTAATTCAATATTTTTTTACAATAAACATTTGTTTCTTCCGTATAAAGTAAAATTTTAATGGGTTAAGTTTTAAAGTTTGGGGTAATTTAGAACTAACTCATCCCTTGAGTAAGATTTCACCAACTGATTGAATTTTCAGACTAATTCTTATATAGGCTGATTAACGGGCACAGCCCATGATACGCAATTAGGCTACAAGAACGAGGTACTTTCTCTGAACAGACATAGTTTTTTTTCTTTCTATAACTGATTCTTAACTCTGGAAAGCTGCCATCTGGTTCCAATAATTTAGTCGGAAGAGCGGCCGAAAGTTTTTCACTATATCTTTCCTCATATCTAGATCCGTTTAAACGAATCTAAATATTTTTGCACGCAATTGTGAGATCCGCATAACCAAAGATAATTTCCTGCAAAAATTATTTTTATTTAGTTCATTTTTATTACTTTATTTAGTTATTAAGCATAATCTCAAATTTATCTCAAAACTTGTAGCATGATATAAAAATATGCATTTTTTTCATTTATTAAGCGATGATACATTATTTCTTAAACTGAGTAGTTTTTTAAAGACTTATTTCAAATCCTTTTTCTGAAGCAAATGCTATCTGTTGATCAAGTACGGACGTTGCCTTTGTATGGTTGAGTCATCTGTAAAACATTTCCTGTCTACTTTCAAAACATTTAGAATATTATGGAGAGCAAAATATGCGCAATAAAGATACGCATATTTTATCTCTCAATAAAATTCATAAAGCGCGATAAAGAAGGTACTGTAAAAGTATAGTTATGACGTAAGAATAAGTTGTAAGATTATTTGATGCTTCGCCTTAAATACTTTCGAAAACTGAAATGGAAAATTCATTTTATAGCCTTCAGCTGATTTTGTTACGAAGGAAGACGCAGATATTTGTCATCCACCATTACACTTTTTAGTATCAGCTGGATAAATATTGCTTTCCTTCCTCACCTCACCTTTATATTTTAATAAAATTACGTCTTAAGGCATTTCTTAGAAGTCATCGAAATAAAAATATATCATAGAATTAATATAAAATGTTGTTAATAATTATCTGATTGATCTCATCACACTTCTCAACTGACAATAGTGGTGGCAAAATGTCAATAATTGAATCAGTTCCTGACAAAAAGACATATAGCATAATAAATAAATACAAAATATATAGCATAATAAATAAATATATATATAGTATAATAAATAAATACAAAAAGGCACAAAATTTAGACCCATTTACCATATTCTAAAATACTTTCTTAATGATCGCAATAGTTTTTGTTTAAAGATATCAAATAGATTCTCTTTACCTTTAGGTATGCTAACAGAATGGAAATGGGGTGTTTATTATTACTTTAAAAACTTTGTTTTCAATAATAAGGATAATTTAAATAACAGTAACAATTCAACAAATTTTTTACAAATTATTCAATCAATTAAGCAATTAAAATTTTTTTGACAAAGCTAACAATAATTATGCAACCTTCTGTAAAAAATTCTATGTTGAACTTTTAAATATGGAGTTAAAAAATAGTAAAAATTTTAAACTTATTAATCTAAATAATACTATTCTCATTAAAATTTTTTGAGCTTTGTATAAGAGGTTAAAAAATAAAATTAGCAATATACAATTTCCTTATTTAATTATCAGTCCTAAATTTCATAAAATTCCTATAAAATTTAGAACAATCACATGTGCGTCTAATACTTACCTAACTAAACATGGCACCATTTTCTCTAACTACTTAAATAAAGTTATTAACAATATTATTAAAGAAGGTTTTTCTTGAATTATCACTAATAATCTACCGATTTTAGAATTTATTAAACATAATGAAATAAATTCTATTGCGACTTTAGATTTCCAGGATCTTTTCAATAAAGCATTCCCCTTTCTAAACTAAAAGATGTCCGTTTGAATTATAACTATGATTTTAAAAAATATCCTTAATTGCGATTTTGATTATTGGGAAATTCTAATTAATTTGTCTTTTTAATAATTATCGTTATAATGGAAAGGATATTTTTCTTCAAATTGAGGGAATACCACAAGGATCTAATTTTTCATCTCTCTTAGCTAACTTATTTTTGACATTATTATGAAAAAAATTTGTTTAAATTTGTTTTCAGATTTATTGATGATTTAATTATCTTTAACTTTCAAGATTATACTATTTTATTAAATAATATTTACCCAAGGGATTAATCTTGCTTCGTAATCATGATGATAATATTAATTTGCAATTTTTTGGATTTGGGTATCATAAAAGAAGAAAATATCTGCTTTGCTGATTTATACGATAAAAGAAATGATTTTAATGTTTATAAATAAGCTAATTACTTGGAATTCTAATGTATCTAAGAACATCTATTTAAATACCAAATTTAATCAAATGAATAGAATTAAAAGAATATGTAGTAATATTTATTTATCCAAAAAACAGATAGATAAACTCTTTCAAAATTTGATAAAAAACAATGAATACCCAACTACAGTAATAAAATTCTATATAAAATCATTCAGTTAATAATATATTATTGTAGTTACATTAACTAAAAATTTTCTTTGTTAATTTATATAATTTTTCCATGTGCAAATCCATTTCGGGAAATCCGTGGCCAAAATTATTTACTAAAAAATTTCTTTGTTAATTTTTTCCATGTGCAAATCCATTTCGGGCAAATCAGTGGCAAAAGTTATTTACTAAAAAATTTCTTTGTTAATTTTTTTCCATGTGAAAAAATTTGATAAGGAAAAAAACAAAAAAAAGCAATGGATACCCAACTATGCGTAAAACAGGCAATTCATGTTTCTTTCTCTTTTCTCTTTTATTTTATTTTTTCTTAAATAAAAGTTAATTTTCTGAAATTATTAATAGTCAACACCTTTAAATTATCCAGTATAATATTACCTTGCGCACATCTATTATCGGGCCCATCCATGGTAACTAACAAATCAATATTTACTAAAAAATTTCTTTGTTAATTTTTTCCATGTGCAAATCCTTTTCGGGCAAATCCGTGGCTAAAATAATTTACTAAAAAAATTTCTTTGTTAATTTATATAACTGTTGTCTTCATTTAAAATTAAGACAAACAGTTAAATTTTTCATAAGAAATATTTGATCTGTCCAACAATAAGAATATGCTTTTTGGTAAACATATAAAAATTGTCAACACAGTCCTCTTTCTCCCCTTCATGAGTTTGCCCCCATTTCTTACCTCGGGTCACCCTTATCGAGTTGTCTCGTCAATCCTTCCACCAAACATTCTAGTATGAAGGTATTGGGCTCGA